GAGAAGTATCAACTTACTAAATAATTGAATAGATTTAGTATACAAAATATATTTATTTCAACGTATCACGGAAAAAAAAAATTTGGCAACATTATTTATAAATTTAAATAAAACATAAATAAGAGAAATTCAACCAGAACGATGAACTGCATTAAAAAAAAATCTGCAGAAAGTTGGAATCGATCCCGTGATAGCGAAACAATTCGAGCGGCGGCATGAGCATCAGTCAACTTAGCTACCGAAACTTCGATCTTTCGGTATCTGAAAGCCACTTATGTTGATTAATAACCTCTGGAGCTTATCCTATAGTTCATAACAATTATGAGGAAAAATAATAAATCAGGAATTATAACTGAACTGCCATCCTTACAAAAATTGTTGAAATTTTTTTTCAAAATAATACTGAATTTAAAAATAAGTATTAAAAGTAGGGGAAAAAGAAAAAAGAGCGAGAGCAAAAATCAGTTTAATATATATACGATATACTCGGTTGCAGTCAAAAGAGAAAAACTCGTGTCGTCGCTTGCTTTGGCTGTGCGTTCAGATATATAGCTATAGTCAACATTTTCACTCCTCTCCTCGTAGACACACATTCGGTATACCCCTTCCACGTCTCTCCAAAATATGCACCTATATGACATTTCCACGCGAATCTACTACTCTTCTCGTAGGCGCACGCTATCCGATACTAGTACTGAGATGTTCGCCCGGTTCGACGGCTGGCCGCGGCGGAGCGCTCCGATCACTGCCAAAAAGTCGTCTCGCATCATAGTATTGGCGTTAGCAATCTCTCTACTCATCTCTGGCTATAATGTAGCGATTGAGAAGAGGAGTCACCGAGACCTCGATGGCGAAATTGGTAACGCACTTTCTCGGTAAGAAAAGAGTTCTAGGTTTAAGTCCTGGTCAAGATGGCACTTTTTTTCAATTGCTACGTATGACAATTTTCTACAAACGGTAGTTTGAACTGAAAATGTCGAGTGGTGAATAGAAAAATTGTCGAATTTTAAAGTCCTAGGTGGTGCTTTTGTATCAATGTTGATGTCCTCCAATGTGTTTTATTTTCCATAATGGTGCTTGATTATGTATCTTCTGAAAACCGCATTATAATAAGCATAACGATAAAATAAACAAAAAATTAACCTAGTTTTACTCGCAATAGCCGTTTGACTTGTTATTAAAATTGTTTCGTGTAATTCTATAAGTTCGGAGTTTTTAAATAAAATAGTTACAAAAAGGAATAGCCTATCAGTTTATGTTATCTCAAAGTAGAGGGATAATCAGTATGTACCTACCCATTTGATTTAGAATCCAATAGCTGTTTAGTACTTTTCATTCCATCATTAGGAATTTTAAAATATACAATTTTTTAATTCTATCAATTTTACAAAAGGTATGAACGGGAAAAGAGTGGGATGAAGGTCAAAAGGAACAAGGTAGAGGAAGCCATAAGGGTAAAAATATTAAATATTTCGTAGAACAACGTCCACATAAAATTCTTAGAGAAGGAAGCAAAGAAAAAACAGGAGGCCAGGTAGTTTGCTAAAGAAGCTACTTGTTAAATGGTTATAATAACAGCTATATAATATAAGAGATTTTTTTTTAAAGCATTGGTGTATCAACTTAAGGTTCTATCGACTTTAAGACATTACATAAGAACACAATTATAATATTACGAATACATAGAATGTTATACGGATCTACTGCTTTCAGTTAACGAAATAAAGTGGTTTTAAGTATTTCTACATTCACCAGTATTGTATTCATGAAAGCTTGACATCATTAAAATTTTTAGATGACTAAACAAATGATTATCACAGTAAAAATGATTGAGTTATTGACGGATTCATAAAAGTAACTCATGCTCTGGTTAAGCAAAACGTCGTATCGTATTTTACCTAATAAATCATATTAAAAAATACATGAACAGTTTTCAACCTAGTTATGATTTCGACATTACAACATATATCACAAGTGTACCCACAATTGAGAATGATGTGATATTAATTATAAGAAATAATACTTAGTATCTTTACTATTAAGCATAAATGTACACTTAAAACCATGTAAAATTTGGTACATGCTCATAGAACCTATGTTAAGTTGAAAAGAAAGTAATTTATTAAGAATTGAATATTCTTCAGATGAGGTAAAAGTAATTTCATTAAATTCAATCAGTAAATTGTCGTACAATTAATTACAAAAGCTCCTAAATTTATTTAGTAATCTAGAGTATACAGCTCAAATAGATTCTAAAAGCAAAATTTGATATTACTATTTGTATCGTGATTTCCCCTATATGTATTATAAAGTATCAGACACATAAGTTAATCTCAAATCTAACAACTGAGAGTTATTAGCGAACAACTTTCTTAAACAGCATACTAACATCTAACTTTAGTTTTTGATAATTAAAAAAAAAGGTATACAGCAAAACTAGAAAACATTTTAGTTAAAGTTATGCATAAGGTCCATTATACTTGAGAAAACACTTATAGCAAGAACGTACTGTATTATCTGACAAAAAGATTTGCCTGCATTATGCCAAATATCAGAAAATGGAGCCATTATCTTAATTATAATTTCGGAAGATTAGTCTTGTGTTTTACATAATCTTTTTCTATGAAAAATTTAAAATTCCAAAAAAATATCATTTCATTTTTTTCGCAATTTTTTCCATTGTAACTGTTTTTTTCATACTGACCTAGCATATTAGCAGCCTCAGTTTCATCTTGATCAAAACGACCTGTAACTCTTCTTTCCACGTAGTTTGGCGATGTATCAGAGTCTCGTGAAGTATCTTCATAGTCTGTTTTGTTTGAAGTACTCCCGCTTAGTTTTTGCAATCCAGATCCTTTTATACTTAAATGTCGAGAACAAAACCCCCGCCGTTGGCTTTCCTTGGTGCAAGGATCCTTACTACATAAGCGTCTCCATTGTTTTCCATTGAACTTTTTGCGAATACCACTTGGCGTCACGACCACATCTCCTTTTTTATATTTATGAGGGGTGGCTGCTTGGGATCTAGTAAAATGCAATACGAAGTTAAATATCCATATAAACTATACATTCTCACCATTACAAATTTAATTTTAAAATAGTTTGTTCTTTAATTTATTGGACTTCTTTATAACTCACATTATATTTAAAAGCTATTTATAATGTTGAGTACTGCAACTGATTTTAATGTAATGTTTCTGTTACTATTTTTTTGCAACTAATACAGTAAAAAAGGCACGATTCTACATCGAATGATAAAGAACAAACTAAAAATTTACAAGTACTAACTTTTTCGTTGATAAAAACTTTTTTACGTCGAAGATGCAAAGTTTGAATTATAAAAGAGACAACAAAAAATAAAGTTTAAAAATGGTACAATACTAAGAATTGATTCACCTTATACATGAATAGAATCTGTGCATAAGGTAACTTTTTACATTTAATGAAAGTCAAAGAGTTTAGAAATAATAAAAAGGCATAATAATTTAATTTTTAACTGAAAGGCTCCATATGTATGTAAATTTTACACAAATCAGTACAAGACCAACAGTAAAGGTATTTTATACCACTTAGTTTTAATTAGAACTTTAAAGTTCCTATTATATAAGGGTAAAAGGAAATATATTATGAAACTGAAGAGTAATTATTTATCAACAAAAAAACCAGGTGTGGATCTCGGGACCCACGACAGATGTAAAACGTTAGAGAATTTGTTATTAAACTCGGTAGTATTTGATTGTGTATGATAAAAATCGTAGTTTTCGTCAGATAAGTACCATCGTCTCCAGGTCTATTTTGCGGCCCGAGAGGCCTGCGAAACAGGGCCCGAGGGACGCAAGGCAGCCACGAAGCAATGGCTCTTATCTGGCGAATCCTATTTTTTCTACCGAGCGTACACCAGCCTCTTAAAAACACGCGACGTAGAAAAAGTATTAATTTTTTTGACTCTAAATAACCTTTATTTTATATTAAGAAGACAATTTATTTATAAATATGTATTTTGACCAGTGTATATTATAGATTAGGAAAAAGCAAATTATGTTTGTATTTTTTTTTGTTCATTGAAATATAAGCAACAAGAACGAGAAAGCACAATAATAGACGGCAAAGAGTAACTATGCTACCTACCTACACAATGGTATATACATACATTAGTTTAACAAACGTTAATGTGTATTACTTTCTCTGTCTCTCAGTCTCTTTTCGGATTGGGATACCTGTTAACTGTGCGTAGTTACGCAAGTGCTTGAATTTCGTTAGGTTGCCTCTTTACTAAAGACGGGTTCAGATAGAGTTTGAATAAACACAATTGGAAGAACCCGCGAAAATTTCCAATTATGGTAAAATATTGATGTTTTAAAATAATTCTATTCACAGAGAAGAATTTTTTTTTAAATGATAAAAAAATTATACTAATTCTAATATTAATTCATCATATTTTACAAGCACAAAATATTTAAAAAAGCAATCAAAAAGGCCTACCTGTATCAGTAAAATAGAGAGAGAGAGAGAGAGAGAGAGACTGAGCGCGAGAGCAGACGATCAATGGCTCTCTCTTTCTCACTTACTTTTAGAGGTACTGCCAAAATGCCTCTTTCATTTTTTTTTAACATTTTGCGCTTGTTGAAACAAAATTAAAAGTGCTTATTGATAGAAAATTTGTAGCCTTACACGCTGGTATTTTTTTGTTTTGTTTATAAAGCTGTTAAAAGATATAAGCAAAACGAACTTTAAAACACAATTTAACACAATTTTGACATGAATAGACCACTTAAAAATAATCACAACTCTTTCTTCTGAAGTCGGTGGGCTAAATTATACATAATACAAAAATTGACCCATTGTAGATTGATTGTCTAATTCAAAAGTTTCTCAGTTGGTGTCTATATATAATAAGAACAAAGATTAGATTGGCGTGCTGCATAGCACAACCAATGAGTTCCCCGAGTATCAATGCTAAAGATGTAGTTCGATTCTCGGAGTCAGTATAATTTGAAAATTTTATTTACACACATATACACGCACGCGCACGCACACTCACACAAACACACACACATATGTATGTATCAATTGTGACTTATGCGGACATTATTATGTAAAAAAAGGTTATGAAGACAAAATCGTACTTATGCGGACTGTCCTCATAACTATCCAATGTTATTAGTATATATTCTTAAAGCATATAAAGAGCGCATGAATCACCTTACATAAAGATATGTATATATATGCGAACGTGCATGTATATGCTATATATACAATACATATATAATATTTAGCTGTCATGTACTTTTCCATACAGTTTTAATAATACGGGTAGTACACTTTACCAACGAGAGAGGGGCGGAAGTAGGCGCGTGAAAAAAGAGATAGAAAGCCAAGCCTAGCCCTGTCGAGTTCAACCGGAGGTGGTGCTATCACACGGGTCGCTTCATTGCGTCACATGAATCTTCATCAGTCTTTATCGATGTTTCACATCAAAAAGTCGAAATACTTACGAGAAGTATTATACATATCAACAGACTAATTAATTTAAAAAATACATTTACATATCTTTCTACATTATTAAGCGATGAAGGAAAGGCTACCTGCACCTCATATAAGACCCTCTAGACCATCGTAAAACTTCTATCGCGGCCTCCTTTAAAATAAGGTACAAGCCCTGTATATGTTGTTTGTTCACCTTAATTAACGAGTTGCACTTTCTGTTTAGTACCTATTGACCTTACAAAAATTTAAAAACAAAATTGTGTCTTCACTTGCTTTACACAATAACTAAGTTTTTTTTTAAATTTATTTCATTTGATATAAAAACTTAATTTTAGTTTTCTTTACTATATAATTTATTTACAAATTTTCATACTACTCTTAACGTTTTGCTATGGGACATTTACTCCCACTTTTTGGAAGTTAAACAGAAGTTGAACTAAAATCCTTAGCAAAATTTTAGCAAAAATTGTGGAAAAAACTACTAGATTTTATAAGTATGTGCAAGACACATGATTAAAAATTTCATCATCAATGTAAAACAGAAAAACCCAATAAAAAATTACAAATTCTGTACACAAAACAGAAAAAAAAACTTGTTAACAAATACTTTTTGTCGGATGCCTTACACAAATAACTATATAATAGACAGGTGAATCACATATCCCTCTTATTATGTTGTTCTTTATGTTGGTCGTTTCACACCATTCCCCCACCTAACCCTACAGCGTTTGTACGGACCCCCTCTTGGATGCTCACCTACCCCTACCAGCCCACAGTGGGACGAAAAGCAAAAATTTTTCTTAAATAAAATAGCTTCCGATAGAAAATTCGTATGTTGATGCTTTTTTTTTATTTTGAAGGTTTTGAATCGTAAATTAAGGGAAACTTGGTCCAAAGTTTTGATACAACACTGGGAGGGCAGTAAACATCCCTAAAAGTGCCCCCAAATTTTAAAAACCATTATTTTTCGCATAAAATTTATAATTTTCACCTGGAACGTAATAAAATGATCCCGTGAAGTCCAGTTTTCACAAAAATCAAGCTTTTATGAATTCTATAAGATTCAAGATGGTGGTAGGAAGATGGCGGTCAGTATGCACGAAAATATAAATGATTTCCATTATTTCTGTTCTATTCGGATTTTGTTGATCTTAACTTCTTTGAAATAATAATATACTCAGCGATCATAAGACGTAGAATAAGTCAAGGTTTCCTATAATTTATAAAATCGAACATGGCGGTCAATACAAAATTGTTGATTGTTGATATTTTTACAACACTCCCTACATGGGTGTCAAATAAAAGGATTCCAAGAGTATAATACATTTTAAATTGTACCATTATTTAAATTCCAAAATGGCTGTTCATACAAAATGGCGAATTATTAATATTTTTTCAGTTCTCTGAATATGGATATCGATTAAAGGGGCTTAAGATGTAGGATACATTTAACGTTTGTGACATCGTTTAAATTCTCATAATGGTGGTCGATACAAGATGCCCAATTTTTTAAATTATTGAAACCCCTCCAATATGGGTATTAAATAATAGTGTGTTATACTAAAAATTTTTTGAAATATATGCAAGCATTTAAATCCCAAAATGGTGGTCAATATGAAATGGCGGATCATTATTTTTACTACAACTCACTCAACATGGATATTGAATGAAAGTGTATGTGAAGTATCATAAAGTAGGCTGTCTTATGACATTTTAAATTAAAAACTATGTTCAACGCAAAGTAGCATAGTAGTAGAATAGAATCTTATAGAAAGGGAATTACAAAAATATGTTCGAACTCTCAGTTTAAGTCTGTAAAATAAGTTAAAAAATGTTTTGTGTCTGTTAAAACGCTTTCCATGCACTAAAGTGTAGAACAATTCAATGCATGTAATTTGTCTTTATGAGTACATTTTTTTTATTGTTTCTGCAGGAAAAAATTTTTTACTGGAAATTAGTTGATAAATTTTTATAATACTAACCAAAAAATTATTACAGAAATTATGTGTATAAAATTCAAAAATGTTAACAATGCTGATTTTTAACATGAATCAGTGATTTAGTTTTCAAATCGAATTGGAAAAAGAGATTCTGAAGCTTTATAAGAATGTTTATGGCAATTATAATGAACTTGATTATTCTCATTTTATCATTTATCATTAAGTATCATAAAGTAGGCTGTCTAATAACATTCTAAATTAAAAATCATGTTCAACACAAAGTAGCATGGTAGTAGAATAGAATCTTACAGAGAGGGAATTACAAAAATACGTTCGAACTTTTGAATTAAGTCTGTAGAATAAGTTAAAAAATGTTTCGTGTCTATTAAAATGCTTTCTATGCACTAAATCGTAGAACGTCTTAACGAATGTAATACAATACAGTTAATTATGATGACAACGTTGAATTAATAAGGAATAGTTCGTTTTTCTCAATTTATCATTATTAAATCAATCATTTTAAATAATTATTGTTCTTTGACTAATCAGAATTGTAAACAAATAACGTAGCTATGGGCAGCTCTATAGACTAGTAGA